GATAATTTTAATAAAATGATAATTAAAAATAGGAAAAAGATATGATAGATGTAGGTGTATGGTAAGATTGGTAGATATATTAAAAATTAATGGTGTTATAGCGGTGTAAGGGTGATTTTGTCCAATGTAATTGAATGTACAACAATTAAAGCAAAATGTATATATTTATTAGTATATAAAAAAAGGGACAAAAATCAAGGACATAACTTGTATTGACACTTATTATGTTTTTAGATATGCTCAACAAGTACAATATGTCTATACCGTCAAATTTGAATTTCAAATATCACATAATAAAAATAATTTTATATAATAGCCTTTTTATATTTTAATTTCTTTAAATATCAGTTTTTTTTTTAAAGCCAACATATAAGACTTGGTTTAATTTTTAGATAATATCTATATAAATTAATTGAATAATGCTACATACTCATCTTATATTTCTCTTTTAATCTTTTACTCTTGACGAGTCATGAACTTTTTAGTATTTGAGTATTAGAACAAAGCCAAGTTACAAGTTTTGCTTGGAGTTTTTGTTAGTTTTACATTGTCAAACTGGAAAGAGAAAACATAATTAATTTTTAAAAAAAAATATACCACGTTGACGCGCAAATGATGAAAATGGAGTTTATATATATAGTGGCGGAGGCATGCGTATGCCATGGGGGGCCTTGGCCCCCCTCCCTATTTTTTTTTAATATTATATACCGTGGCGGAGGATGTGTATGCCCTCCCCATTTTTTTTTTTAATATTATATATGTGTTAAATTGTTTTAAAATATATTATATAAAATTTTAAAATTTTGTTGTTCTTTCAAAATATTTGGTCCCCCTCCCACTTAAATTAATCTTACAGGTTAAGTTGTAAACTTCTTCATCTGCTCAACTCATCCAGTTCTCTCCCATTTCAAATTATGTTTTCCCTATGTTGTTGACTCACATTCAAATTAAACCCCATTAACCTACCTACTAGTTTCTCTCACCATACATATATGCGGCATATACAATATAACAAAATAATTTATCATTAATAAAATCTATGCATATTTTTCAGGGAAAACAACGCTTTTGGCCTCTCAATTGTTTTACTTTTGAAAATTTAGCCCTTGTGAATTGATTTGAACAAACCTAACCTTTAATTGTTCATAATGTGACACATTATTTGGTTTCTCGTGTTATATAATTAGAATTATTTTTAATAATTTATATAATTTATTTACTAATTAAAAATATTTTTTATTATAAATAAATACATAAATTTTTTTAAATTAAAAAAAAAAAAAAAAAACAGCCACCTGACAGCCGGTGGTTGTCTTCTTCATGGAGACGGCCATGGCCAGCGCCCTCGTTCCAGACGGAGGGGACTGGAACGAGGGCGGCGGCAAAGGTCGCAACCCTTGTTCCAGATGGCCATGGCCGTCTCCCTTAGACGGTCGTAGCCGTTCAGCAGGACGACCACAGTGTATGTATATGTATATATTCTTTTCTTCCTCAAAATTCATATTTAATAGTAATGTCTTGATTTTTCTCTCTTCCCCACTAAACTTCATACTCTAAAAAATTGAGCTAAAATCGGGAGTGCTCTTAACTAAATTCATTTTTTAAATTTGTAATGCAATCAATCAATTTATGGATACTCAATAAATGAAAGTCACATCAGAACCGAAAAGATGAGAATGAAAAAAAAAAAAAAAAAGCATATTCCAAAATAAAACATATGCATGTATCAACTCATAAATTAAGAATTCGAAATTTCAAACAATGAGTTTTAAGATGTGTATGTGATCAAATGTTGTTGCGGTTAGGGCTCTTAACGAACTGAACATAAACGAACGAAGGTTGTTCGTGTTCGTTTGTTAAGTTTTTTGAAAATCGTGTTTGTGTTCGTTTGTTAAGCGTTTGTTTGTGTTCGTTAACGTTCGCCAACACGTTCACGAACGTGTTTGTTAATGTTCGTGAACACGTTCGTAAACGTGTTCGTTAACGTTAACAAACACGTTCACAAACATGCTCATTAACAAGCACGTTCACAAACATATTTATTTACGTTCATGAACACTTAATAAACAAACACGTGCACATGTTCATGATCACAATTCATTCGTGAACAATAAATAATTTACGTTCACGAACAATAATCAAACAAACAACACAACTACATAACTAATATAATATAATATAATATATATGTTTGTGAACATGTTCACGAACATTATTAAACGAACACAAACGAGTTTGTTCACGAACATTATTAAACGAACATAAACGAGCTTGTTCACGAACATTAGTAAACAAACACAAATGAGTTTGTTCACGATCTCTTAGCAAACGAGCTTAGAACTGTTCAAACTCTGTTCTTTTATTAACCGAGCTCTAAATTTTGTTTGTTAATGTTCGTTTACCTTAACAAACGAACATAAACGAATTCTTACCGAACACAAACATTAGTAGTTTGCCGAAAGCTCTGTTCGCTAACACCCCTAATTGCAGTGTATTAACTTTTTCATATATAATAGTATGCAAATCACACAAAAAAAGTTATTTTTAATAATTAATTTTTGTAATTTTAAGTATGAGAATTATGTTATGCTCTATCAAGTCGATCACTCATCTCTCAATTATTCCTATAATTGAGGTTATAAGGTATGGCTGATCTGCCTAGGGCCTAACAAATTTGATATTGTGATTTGTGAAGGGCGTTGGACCTACCGATAAAAAAAAATAAAGATATTATCAACAACCCAATCATTCTTATCGAGTTGACAAATTAATCACATCCACTGCTTATTAAATTTCATTGAAACCCCATCTTTCTTAAAAGGGTTTTGTTACTTACTCTTTTGGGAGCCCTTTATAGTGTATTTGATAATACTAATAAGTATTAGCAATCGTTATACTGTGCATCCGTATGCACCATGCATGGTGCATACGGATGCAAAAATGACGTCGTTTTGAAGTCTAACTTAAAAATAAATAAATTCAGAATTGCATAACTACACATTCATAATTTCATAACTATACATCCAGAATTACATAACTACACATTCATAATTTCATAACTATAAATCCAGAATTGCATAACTACACATTTATAAGTTCATAACTATAGATCCAAAATTGCATAACTACACATCCATAACTTCATAACTATAAATCCAGAATTGCATAACTACACATCCATAACTTCATAACTATAAATCCAGAATTGCATAACTACACATCCAGAATTGCATAACTATACATCCAGAATTTCATACCTAAAAATCCAGAATGAATGAACTTAAAAATGAATAACATAATGTTGTTGTTGGGAATCGAAACTAATTTTTTTAAAAAATAGGACACGCGTTTTGATGCAAAACGACGTCGTTTTTGCATCCGTATGCACCATGCATGTGGATGCACAACATAATTTGCCTAAGTATTAGAGCTTCATATTTACTTGATGATCGCTACTTATAATATATTAGATTGAGATTGTAATTGTTCTATTAAACACATTTTAAAAAGAAACAAATAGATGTGACTTATGACTTTGGCTCCTTTTAATTTGATGAATCATAAGGCATCCTCAATAGTTAGATTTTTGTACAAATTTTAAAATGTCAAGTAGAAGAAAAGGAGGGAAGAGAAAAAACAAGAAAATGAGTTTTCTGGGAAAAAAAAGTTTTGGTAACGCACCCCACTGGGCGTTGTTGTTGTGCCTCACACAGTTTAATCTTCCAGTTGAATGTCAATGCAATATGGTTTTTAGAAATTCAACTAAAATCTCTTTAATGGGCTGTTTGGTTCATGGAATAGACCTGGAATGACATAGCATTCTTAGTAATAGGTCTATTCCCCTGTTTGGTAACTATTTGTATTCCCAAGAACATTGTTCCCAGGAATGACCTATTCCCCTTGCAAGGGGAATACAGATTCCTAGGGGGCCCCTGGTATTAGGCTATTCCTAAGTTCTCAAGAATAGCCTAAAATTTCTATTTCCTATTTTACCCCCAATTAAATTTATTTCCTATTTCACCGTCATCGCCACCACCACTACTACCACCGTTGCCGCCGCCACCACTAGCACTGCCACCACCACTTTCGCTGCCGCTGCCACCGCCACCACCACCATCATCACCATCGCCACCACCACAACCACCGTCGCCCCCACCAGCATATATTTTTATAAGGGTATTTATGTATTTTAAAACATATTTCATTTCTATTTCTTAAACTAACCAAATACTGTAATATAATTTCTAATGTATATTCCTTTCGCTAACCAAACAATAGAATACAATTCCTATTATATTCATTGCATATTCTATTCCTTATGTAATAACATTCCTATTACCTTAAAATTCATTCTGTGAACCAAATGTGCGGTAAGTGTGTGAGTTCTACAAATTGTGATCATTCTAGAGAATTCAAACGAAATTTAATTATTTTTGTAAATAGAAACGGTAACTTTAACTCTTTTATTTTGACAACATAATCGTTGTAGTTCATCTGTTCGGGCATGAAAACGTTTGTCTACATGATTATATTTTACTTGTAGTCTTTTTGTAAAGTATTGATAATTGCTACGGGGGTATTTGCTACTAATCATCCCCGTTAGTACATAGATCAAATATGTCATCTAAGAAAATAAAAATAAAAAATGAAATTTTCAAGACAAAAGGAGCTAAAACGGCTATATCGCACATGCCATTTTTCAATTATAAAATGTGTATGAAACAGAAAAAAAAAAAAAATTAACTATAATTTTTTTTAAGAAAAAGCAAAAACGGTATTTAATTTTTAATTAATTAATTCCTAAAATATACAGTATCTAATAAAATTCAAATTCAAAAATAAAAAATAAAAAATAAAAAATAAATCACTTTCGGTATTTGGCAATTGAGTTCATTGGATCCGCGGAGAAAAGCGGTGGAACAAGGGTAAAATCGTAATTTTATACTCGCGTCGCCTCCATTTTCTGTCGTGTCTTTTCTCCCAATATAAACACAGCAATATTCTTCTCTCTCTCTGTGACTGAATCCGCTGTTTGTGGGCATTGTACGCTTCTGCAGGTGCGTATGTACCTACGTATATTCACATTTTATGCGCTTTCGCTATCATCGATTCATCCAATTCTTTGTTTTGGGGAAAAGGGATAGCTTTTTGAATGTTGTGGTTTTTACTTCTCTTGTTTGAGCTAGGCATTGAGAAGGCAAGAACCCTATAATCGGTTCCTCTTTCTTTTTGCCGCACGTTTTCTCCCCGACGGCGAAAAAAAGGTGATCTTTTTCCGTCTGGGTCTTCGTTTTTTCCGTCCATTCTTGAAATGCCTGTATTTCTCTTTGCATCTTCAATTGGATCTCGTGTTTCTTCTTCTGCTTACCAATCAACTGAGTTCTTAACTGATAAATGGGAATGGGGGATTGTGTGCTGCATATAAGGTTTTTCCTTTTGGAAAAAGGAAAAGAATATCTTTTGAGGGTTGAATATTTGATTTTTATATCTGATAAGTGGTGTCCCATTGATGGAAAGTTCTTTTCTTCAGGGCTTAGGACTTATGCAGTTTTGGTTACCTTTCAGTAGGATCTTGAGTTTAACAATTAAGATATTCCTTGTGGTTACTTTTTAGTGGAAAAGATACTTCCCAATAGAAGCTGTGGCAAGATCTTTGCTTCCACCTTATTTTTTGTGATTTTGGTTTGCTTTTGAAGAGTATGAGTGTTTTGATTGTTATAGCAACTTTAAAGTTAATAGTTTGATTTATTGACCAAGTGTGTTTATCTGGTTCAATCTTTAGTAATGTGTTTATCTGGTTCAATCTTTAGTAATGTGTTTATCTGGTTAGTTTCTTTCAAAAAAAAAAAAAAAAGTTAATTGTTTGATTTATTGACCCGCCATTTGGATGAAAAGTACTAGTTTATATCACATTCACTTAGATTTAAGATGGTAAAATTGCTACTAAGAACAAGATTACCAGAATGCATCGATAGTAGGATACGCCCGTTACACTTGTATTACTATAATCTATACCAAATATACAAAACATGTTGAAATCCAGTTTCTGGGAAAGTATCATTACAATAAATACCTAGAGGCTTTCTTTATGTGCACATGAGGGTAAATAAGTGGTGAAATGTTTTCATGTCAGGTATTCGAAACAGAATAATTCCCCAACGACCTGTGCGATGGGCATCGATTAGTTTATAAGGGGGTTACGAGTGATCTAACTTATCCGAAAACTGAAAGTCCAATGATTTAGCGTCAAAGAGAATTGAATGGATTACGATATGTTATCTTTTAACAATCTTTCTCCTTATCTTCTTTCCACGTGAGCATAAAAAGCATAATATTAGAATGTTAATTTATACAATCCATCTCAATTTTGCAATGTTGAAAAAATCGCTAGGCGCCTAGGCGGGCGCCTAGAGGCCGACCACCTAGTGCCTAGGCAGGTGCCTAGGAGGCCGACCGCCTAGCGCCTAGGCGCGATTTTTGCAACACTGCAATTTTGTATGTCATGCTCTGTAGGCACTAATTGCCATTTGGAAGTTTGTCCTGCACTGCTTTGTGTAATTGGTCGTTTTATTTTTAATATTTACTAACCAATGTTTTGGACTGTGAAAAGGACTACTGGGACTGGGTTGTTCATTTTGATTTACTGCTAGCTGAATATACTTATTAATCCTAATATGAAATAGTTTTTTTATTTTCCCTTTTCTTTTGTGCAGGGTTGTTTGTCTTTAGAGTTGATTAATTGACAGTGAGGGCGCTTGGCATTTACCTGCCTTATTGATTTGCTGCAGCAAAGTTAACATTTTCTCCTGGGAGGCGAGGATCAGTTTTTAAATTAGTTTGGCTATGGTAATTTACTAATTATTCCTGGAATCATTTTTTTCAGTATGGATTTATTGGTATTCTACAGAGCAATATATATTTATTTTGCCAAAGTATATGTTATTATATTTCCTTGAAGCGGGACTTCGAAAGATATTTGAATCTTTTTGTTAAATTGATAAAGAGTATTCAAATATCTATACCAGATATCGAGTCATGATTTAAGCATATCTTTCTCTTAATAAATTCATTATTCGTTTGACTAGTAACCCCTTGATACTTTGGGTTGTTAACTTAGGCGGCAACCAATGAAAATCTCCCACCAAATGTGATAAAGCAATTAGTTAAGGAATTGAAGAATCTTGATGAAACTCCTCCCGAAGGCATTAAAGTTGGAGTAAATGATGATGACTTTTCAACTATATTTGCTGATATTGAAGGGCCAGGTATCCTTTATCTGCTATGAATAACATCGTTCTTTGGGAAAGTTTAGTTCTTTTCTCAAATTTCGCCTTTTTTTTGCAGCTGGAACTCCATATGAGAATGGCATCTTCCGCATGAAGTTGATATTATCTAATGATTTCCCGCATTCACCCCCTAAAGGTTGTCTCTCTAATTTATTGGAGTTAAATTATAGTAATAGTATAGTTTCTAGTTTCATTGTTGGTTAATTTTTTTTGACATATCATCGTTGGAATGGCATATCAACAATTTGCCCTCTCATTCGATTTAGCTATTGCCCTTTGTCTTCTGGTTTTATATCAACAAATGTAGTCTTCTAACGTTGTTAGGTTTTCGTTCTCAACTATAGACTAGAATTTTTAGGAGTTTCCTTTAAAACAAGTTTATTAGGCGAAAAATGTTTCTCTTCTCACCAGCTTTCTGTTGGCTTTCCCTTAACTAAAAACAGAAAACAAATAGATTCTTAGTTGTTAGTTGTTTGTTGTTGCTAATCTAAACATGAAACCCTTTTTATGTTTCCTCCTTTTGGTCTCTTAGGTTTTTTCCTGACCAAAATTTTTCATCCAAATATCGCAACCAACGGTGAGATCTGTGTAAATGCTCTTAAAAGGGATTGGAGTCCAAACCTTGGCTTAAGGCACGTGTTAATGGTAAGTTCTCTCTACTTAAAAAATTAGTAAATAATATTAATTAGCTTATACTCGTATATTGTGTAAGTTGGCTTTTTCACTCTAATATGGTACTTAAATTGCTCACGAACAGGTGGTTAGATGTTTATTGATAGAACCTTTCCCGGAATCAGCTTTAAATGAACAGGCTGGCAAGATGCTTTTAGATAACTACGAGGAGTATGCTAGACTTGCAAGGTTAGTGATGATATGGTTTCATCAACATCATCTCATTTGTATCCATAAAATTAGAAATTGAAAATTTGCCATTTAGTTATCGGAGAATTCTTGTTGAAATAGTAAGAGGCGACTGAACTAGAAATGCTAGTCATTAAGTTTTACTCTGTGAACAAAATCGACAACTATAGACGAACCAAGCTAATAGATGCTCCTGTTTCCTAATTTTTCAGGCTTTATACTGGGATTCATGCTATGAAGCCGAAGCCCAAACTAAAAGGCGGGGCGATTTCTGAATCGACCACTGCACTGAATGTTGACCAATCAAAGTCCTCAGCATTTGTGGATAAGAAGAGTGTGGCGGTCTCGAGTGTTCCTCTCCCACAACCATCTCCACTCGCCCCTTCATCCAAAGCGGGGAACAGCCTGGACCAGCCGGCTTTGCCCAGTTCAACAGCGAATTGCGGTTCAGCAGCAGCCCCGCTAGCCCAAAAGAAGGAAGCTGGGTTGGCAAAGGCCCATGCAGACAGAAAGAAGATGGATGCCAGAAAGAAAAGTTTGAAGAGATTATAAGGTGTTTCCAATGAGGATGGATGCAATTTTCTATTTTCACTTCCTTGCAATGTAGTAGTAGTAAACATAAGAAAGAAGTTTGTACTATTATTATTATTATTATTATTCAGATTGATGATGTTCTTGGTACCAATATTTCCTAAGAACAATGAAATAGCCCACATTTGGGATTTGGGAAGTCACTCATATTTTCATGCTATAAATCCTAAGAATCAACCTTCCAATCTCATGTATCCTAATCATGTGAAAACCATCTTGTTAATTTAATTGCTCAAATTACATCATACAAGGAGTCTAGCTTCACTAGGAATCAAAAGTTTTTTACTAGAGAAAAAATTTGATTAAACATTGCAGCAAACTATATATATCTTGCGGTTTACTTCCTCTCACACGTTTTCAAGGCCAGAGACGTGAGGGGTTTTTAGGTTTGGGGTTCAAATTTAAACCCAAAGAAGCTTTCTATAAATGCAAGTTCACATAGATGGATGTGTTATACTTAATCCCAAAGGATAGTTGAACTACCACAAACTTAATCCCAAAGAAGCCTTCTATAATGCAAGTTCACAAAGAAGATGTGTTATACTTAACCCCAAAGGGTAGTTGAACTATTACCTATAATGAATAATTTAATACGAGCCTTTAAATTAACAAGATGGTGCAGTGTTATAAGTTATAACAAAGCTACACCGGGATCACTTTAGGTGAGATATAACAAAGCTATATTCATTATCTGCATTTCAGTGCATTATAATAATTTCAAAATTCCACCCAACAGAAATACTGAAATAGTGCATCTTCAAATAGCAAAAGTATACATATATAATAATAATAATAATGAAATAATAAATGAAGTGAAACTTTTAACAACACAATATAACGTGGGAGATAAAAGGATTCTACTACCCTTACAACAATAGAGAAAAATTACATTAATTCAACATCCGACCTTAAACCATCCAATAAACAAGGAAAATAGAAAGACTTGGGAATCCATTGTACTAACTTAACCCATCCAAATTCTAGTTCTCTTCAAATTCTAGTGGTTTTTAAAGATTTAGGTTGAGGAGGGGAAATCACTTGGCCATCATAACCTTAACGAACTCCTCATAGTTGATTTGGCCATCGCCATCAACATCAGCTTCCCTTATCATCTCATCCACTTCCTCGTCAGTGAGCTTCTCACCAAGGTTTGTCATCACATGGCGAAGCTCAGCAGCAGAGATGAAACCGTTCTGGTCCTTGTCAAAAACTCTAAAAGCCTCTTTCAGTTCCTCTTCAGAATCAGTGTCCTTCATCTTCCTGGCCATGAGATTTAGAAACTCTGGGAAGTCGATGGTTCCATTGCCATCAGCATCGACTTCATTTATCATATCCTGTAGCTCAGCTTCGGTGGGATTCTGTCCCAATGACCTCATCACAGTCCCAAGCTCTTTGGTAGTGATGCAACCTGCAGTACTAATGAGGATTAACTTATGTTCCAATCAACCCAAGACTGCAGTTCAGGAAAAAAGAGTGAAAATATACAAGCTTGAAGCTTCTGCCACTCAGAAGCAAAAGGGCAAATGAATGATGACAATTAACCAGATACAAGGCAGGTCCTTGATAGCCAATGATTCAAAGAACTCTTTAGAGCCATCCAACATGTCACATTAAATTAACTAATATGCATTTAGAAATTAAAAGATGACAATTTTGCGAAAAGAATGAAGCTTACGACAAGTAATGCAAACAACATTATCCTTCCTGAAGGATTAACCACATTTTCTACAATTATTTCAGATCTAGCACTGCAATCACCACTTCGGCCCTGTTTGGCTTCATGAATCAAGTCTAAAAGTTTTTATTTTTTCAGAACATCTTGGAAATGGAAAGAGAACTGAAGTTGAAGATAATAATCTCGCTCATAACAATGTAAATTAGGGATGTTAAGATGACGTAAGAAAATGACAATAGTAACAAATACTCCAGTTTGTATATCGATAAATCTTAAAATTTGTATTTCCGTTCCAAATTTGAAAAAAAAAATTATTCGTATTCAATAAGTCAAATTAAAATTCCAAGGAGATGACAGAAATTATAGTCATCCTCAAATCAATCAGCTCAGCCCCGCCTCATAGTCTATTCCTTAAGCAGGTAAAGGCATAGAAGGGGAACGAAAAAGGCAAATGCATCCTGCATAAATTGATAGTAACATGCAAGCATATAAAATCATGTTGATACAACTCAAATTATTCTTAGGAGAAAACAAGCCCTTAGGGGCTTTCAGTCACCAAATACACCTGGAAATCTAAATCATTTCTTCAAATTCAAAGGTTCAATGCACATCTCCGAGTCAACAACTTTCAGATTCAAAAGTCGAATAAAAATGTCACGGAGATGACAGAAATTATAGCCATCCACAAATCGATCAGCTCGGCCGCATAGTTTATTCCTTAGAACAGATAAACGCAGATAAGGAAAAGAAAAAGGCAAATGCATAATGTATAAACTGCTAGCACATGCACACATATAAAATCATGTCGAGAAAACTCTAAATCATTCCTAGAACAAAACAAGCCCCTAGGCGCTATCGGTCACCCTATACACCGTGATATCTAAACGATTTCTTCAAATTCAAAGGCTCAACGCATATTTCCGAGTCTCCAGCTCATTTCCTCTACCAAATCGGCTCCGAACTAAAGATCAAAACAAACCAGATCTGTGCGCATATAATCAGGCAAATAAACACACACACAAAAAAAAAAAAAAAAAAAAAAAAAAAAGCTAACAAATAATAAAAACGGATACATATACAAACGCAGCACAACAAAATACAGTAACGGATAAGAGAAAGGAGAGAAGCGAACCATCGCCGTCCTTGTCGAATAGGCTGAAGGCCTCCTTGAACTCGGAGATCTGATCGTCGGTCAGCTGATCCGCCATGTCTATGCAGTTAGTTTAGTTTTTTTTTCTCGTCAAAGAAGAATGAAAATGGGAAAGAAGACGAGAGGAAGATAGTTCTGGAAATGGGAGTTCGATATTTGTTTCCGCCTTAGGTTTCGGAGGACGAGAGGAGAGTGTAGCCTTTTATATAACGACCAATCACCATTTTGCTTCAATCCGGACGTCTCCTCCTCCTACGAATCTCTATCCTTTTGCTTCCGTCTTTCCCTCTTTGCCCCTCTCTCATTTCTCTTTGTTTTTCCTAATTTTTTCTGTGTCCAAACAAATGTTATTTACTTTATCATATCTTATATTTCTGATTCAATTTATATAATATTAAAAGTGTCAACTACTATATAGTATGATGATACTTTTATTTCTATTTTAAATAGATACTTTTATTTTCATTTTAAATAGATGGTCACCGGATCGAACCTTGGTGGTGGGGTCATAGATTCTTTGGGCTAAGAAGATTTGAGAAAGTGTAAAACAGATACGAAAAGTATTTACAATTTAATTTTCATAATATTAAATTTAATATTAATGTATAAAATTTATAAACTTATAAATTCTATTAAAAGTACTAATAAATATAAAAATAAATAAATTTTAAAATTATAAGAAAATAAGCAAAGAAATGATTAATTTGATTAATAAATAGTAAACGTAGGTAAAACGCGATAAATGAAATATTTAGGTTAAATTTTATATTATATATATAATTCAAGAAAAATAGCAATTTTTGTTTCTAAATATAAAAAAATATTAATTTGAATATCTCAAGTATATCTATTACTACTTCTATTTCTCAACAGTCTATAAAGTCACTTTTATTTTTTGAGTTTTATTAAGGTTAATTTTTTTTAAAAAATACTTTATAGACAATTGAAGGATGAAAAAGTTATTTTGTAAATAATTGATGAACAAAAAGTATTATTTATATGTAATTTACGAGCGAAAAAATGATATTTTTTAATATTTCATTTTGAGATGCAATGTATGTAACAACTACGTATATTTACAAGTTAATCATAAATTTGATCAAACTCACAATGAGTTAGTCAGATAAGATTTATCAAAGTGATAAAAATTTGGTAAAAAAAATTGTAATTCATATAATATTGTCATTTTTTAACCACAAGGAACAAATCATACTTAAAAAATATATATTGACATTTAAGGTATTGTTTACAAATGTTGTTAGTGTTACTCAACCTAAGTCATATAATTTGGTGTAAATTATTTTTTGTATATCCAAAAAAGAAGAAGAAGAAGTATAACTTTAAAAAAATTAAAATATATTTTAATACTTTTAAATAAATAATAATACTTTTCAAAAATGAATAAATAATAATAATAATAATAATAATAATAATAATAGTAATAATAATAATAATAATAATAATAATAATAATAATAATAAACATACAAAAAAAAAAAAAAGCATTTAAAGGTCTGACTATTCTTTAAAATAAAAGGGGTATTACGGTAAAATAGAAAAATAATTGTACGCAGCACTCTACTAGAAGTAAACACGTAGGTTGACAGCTATACATTATATCGCACACTGTTTGTAAACGTCTTAATCTGGTCGAATCAAGAGTTGCCACGTGGGTGGAACAACGGTTCGTTTGGCGAAGACTGAAGAGAGTAACTGACAGCGGAATAAAATAATAAGCAGTTGGCTTATTATTGCAGTATTAAATGATGTACAAATTACTGAATTCCGTGATAATTTCCTACTCTCTCCATCATTACCCAAACGCGGTTCCTACGCGTGAATGGCTTTCTGCTCTTGCCACGCCAAATAAGACACGGAGTGTGTATAAAAATAAAGAAAAAGAAATTTGTTATTTTATCCACATAGTTTTATCGCCTATGTTTACGTATTGATATGATAATAAATTCTTCATAGGTTGAATTTGCCTTTCTCTTTTTTTTTTTTTACCTCGTCGAATACCATGACTAGTCTCCTTGCTGAATTGTAGATATTTTTATTACATGAGACAACTATCTTGGAGATTTAAGATTGTTCTATACCCAAAGCCAATAATCAAACTTTTGATATTTGATTAATAATGAACAAGTCGCTTCCTTTCAATCACATCTAATGTTAAATGTGACTTATAGTTAATTAGGTAGTAAGAGCCCTTTCAACTTCCATAATTATTGAGATCTATACAACATTGTACATTATATTGCAACTTAATTACTTGAATAGGGATACAAATTAAACTACCTTAAGCAATCGTTATGCTGTGGAATCGTGTCCACCTTGCAAGGTGAATATGGTTCTATGTTCATAATTATAAAGTTATATATATTCATAATTTTTGAACTTCATATTCATAATTATTGAACTATATATTCACAATTACAGAACTCTATGTTCATAATTACTGAATTATATGTTCATAATTATAAAGCTATATATTCATAATTTTTGAACTTCATATTCACAATTATTGAATCATTATAATAATAATTACATAACTATATGTTCATAATTATGTTCACAACTCTATATTTATAATTTTTGAACTATATATTCATAATTATGAACAGTTTTAAAACTGTATCTACCTTGCAAAGTGGTCACGGTTCCACATCATAATTTGCCCTACCTTAAGCCATTGGGCTTAAGAACATTGATCTACCTTAGCTACATCTCTTTACACACATCTTGACGATTAGTGTTGACAATTGAATCTCATAAGTCATAATGGACATGGTAGTATAATAAAAAGATGGAGTTCGTTATTAATGTTATTTATAATAGGGCAGTTGAGTGGTCAATGTTTTCATTTATTATGTTTAGTCATATGGATTCGATGATTCGTACTACGTAGTAACATTTTTATTGTATATATATAATGCTATAATGACAACCAAGACATGGTAATGACCAAGATACAATGAAGCCCCAAAAAAAATTGTAATAATGCCACAAAAAAAAGAGGTTGTTGAGTATAATGATGCAAAAAAAAATATTGAGTGGGTAGAACATAATTATCGTATAGGATATAACTATGAGTATTGTTGTTGTAGTTTCTATTATTATTATTATTATTATTATTATTATTATTGTTGTTGTTGTTGTTGTTGTTGTTGTTATTAGTGTATAGTGCATGAATAGTTATAATACAGTAATGAGGTACCGAGTGGTTTTATAATCTTGCATATATACCTACCTGCTACCTATATAACTGCAGAAAGGCACTGTAAAATAATGACAATAACTCTTTTCTTATCTCTCTTTTTTGAAGTTAGGCTATCACTTGAAGTATAATCATTTGGAGTTGGACTGTCACTCGAAGTGCAACCATGTCTTTTTTCCTCTCACTTTCTTGAGTTTAGCTTTTGACTTGAAGAAGAGCAATTCATACAACACCAATGTTGTATAGTATTATATATATGAATTAAATGTCACATGTTCAATTTTGACTAATACATTTTTACTCGACCTAATTGCACATATTTTTTTTAATGTAATTTATTATCTGATGTGAAACATGGTTCCTTAGTTCACACTCACAACAATTGTGTTAAAAGTATACATATTATGGAATACGAGTAGCATTTAAAAGTACTTTTAGGAAGTTGAGAAAAAAGTAGGAAAATTTTAAAAGTAACGTATAGTAGTTCTAGATACAATTCTACTCCGTAAATCCGTAATAATTACATCGAAAATTTTTACAATTATTACAAATTTGAACATTGTACTTGTAAATTGCATTCTTTAATTTCCTTTATATATATCGTTGGTAAAATAGAAGACACAATTTTGCAAAGTACACATAATTATTGTAATTTGCTACTCGGTATAATGTAAAAATTTCGTGATTATATGTATGTGTGTATGGCGTTGTGTGCCATTTCTCATTAAATTAGAGGTGACCATTTTAATTATATTGTTTATAAACTTTTAAAAGTAATAAAATAATAAATTCTTTATTACTTAACTCTGAACACATGCCAGTATGCCACACCAACCTTACAATCATAAATGGAAGCCAAGTTAAAGTTAATTACTCTTAATAAATGGAAGAATAAATGGAAGCCAAGTTAATTACTCTTAATAAAAAGTTACTATATGGTAACCCATTATTATTATTATTATTATTATTATTATTATTATTATTATTATTAAATGAGACAACAACAATCATAATGGTATATTACTCCGGGTCGACAAACATAGCCACGATAACCTCTACTATGGCATTGGTATTTGCACCTCCAATTCATTAAACAACGTCCAATGCATTCGTATTCATCATCTCCATATGTAACTTGCGTTTTTGTCGTCATCACACAACCTAAAATATATTATTATGAAAAATTAATTAAAAGAGAGAGAGAGAGCTAGGGAGAGAAAGAAATTAAATAATAGAGTGTTTGAAGCCTCAAAAAGAAAAACTACTGAAATAAGAATAAGAATAAAATAGATTAAAGAGAAATAAATTAAGTAATACCTGTAACCATGAAAAGAGTCATGAATAAAAGGATGATGAAAACATGGCCATTGCGAACGCCCTTGGAAGAATTCATTTAGGAAAAATGCTATATATTTCAATTATATTATTGCTTATATGCTTCAAATCATAAATTCACAACCTATATATATAGAGTGATAGAGGAGAGATGAGAGAAGAGAGCGAATCATGCATGTATATCTCAATCTTTTTCTTACACGTCTTGTTTATTAAATAAAAAAAAATTATTTTGATTGATTTTTTTTTAACAAAAATACTTACGAAAAAAAAAAACTGTGTTTACTAATTAATGAAATTCTCAATTTTCCCCAGTCAAATTTGTCAGGTTATTACATATTGGTCTTCTTGGTAACTATTTAGAATGGCTTTCTCATATTGAGAAATTATGTCTAGTGGCATTCGATCAGTTGAGATGTGATATGATTGCATCACGATGTCTAAGGACACGATCCAGTCTCCACGTCTCGAAATGAATTCGGATTCGCTCAGTAAGCTAGTTCTGGAGTCAATCAATCCTGGAGGGAATCATTTGTTGTCAATCATATAAAGACGGTAAACGAATTTTGAATTGAACACCAAAGATAAATAATGTACGGCTTCGATAAAAACAAATATAACCAAAAGAAAAGGTTAGTGGAATTAGCGGAGAATCAGCTAGTTATTAACAACATAGGATGATTTATCTCTTTGTGATCCTTTCACAAGAAAATGTTTATTCAGTATATATCATCAGATAGTGTTGCAGGTTTCCTTTTGGAGAAACAAAATAGTGAATACATTTACTTCTACATTTTATAAATTTGAAAAATATATAATGAAGAATGAAAAACCGAATAATTAAAATAAGCATAACATAACCCAATAGTTGGTAAGCGGATTACTAATTAATACAACTATAAAGTTAAAAAGTTTGATTCTTTTTTTTTGTCCAAGGTATCCCTCCAGTTGAACCCCCAACCTAATACTTAAGGGACGAGGTACTGAACCACCACACCAACCATATTGGTTTAAAAGTTTGATTCTAGTAGAGACAGAATGCATCTTTTAATTGTGAGGATACCAATATCATATGAAAAATAAATAAAAAATACAAACCTTTATATATTTATTTATTGAGTACTTATAAATTGAACTATTTCATTTTTTTAGTTCAGTTCATGAACCATTAGTGTCTGATGTGACATTATTCATATTTAGCGTATGTTTTTAAGCATAAATTAAGGAAAGGGATTTAGGAAATTATTGTTGTAGAGATAAAAGGATATTAACAGATTACCTAAAATTAGATATATATGATCGACATGAGTTGGCGCAACATGTGGATGTCTTGTGGTTGTAATATAGGCTGCAAAAATAGCAACAATTAATAGTAGCCATAACAAACTGGATTTTTAAGTTTGATTTTTTTTTTTTTTTTTTTTTTTTTTTTTTTTTTTTTTTTTGTCGACAAAGAGAGTGGGAAGGAGATAGAAAGAAAAAAAGAAGAAGAAAAACAAAGCAATAACAATTTACGATTTTTTTTTATAGGTGCGTGCAAAGCATGTTATAAATCATAATCTATATAGATAGAGAGAAATAGAAGAAAGAAGAATCATGCATATGCATCACTAGGAACCCGCCATGCACATTTTTTTAGATAGAACAACTGATCTGGAGATTTAAGCCTGCTCTATACCTAAAACAAAGAATCAAACTCCTAACCTTTGGTTAATTAAGGATATATATGTTCATTCCACTTAACCACATTTGCAGGTTATTAAGACCTCTTAGTGCGTATAATGTATAGTATATGCATGGGTGAGAACAATATTGACCAGACCACTCCCAATTTTTTATTTAATCCGCCGATAAAAATATTCTGTTTATATAATATAGAACTGATTGATTTTTAATAATAAATCAAAATAAACTGTTGGATTCGTGTAATTCGCCCACCGCTAGAAACAACTAATGTATATTTAGAGTATTATATTTTAGGACTAATCGACAATTTGCATGCAAAAAGAACGAATACAATGCAATGTCGTGAAATGAAATCTTTTTCCAGATTGTATTAAGCAAATTAAAAAGTGAAAGTAGTATACATAGTGATCATTCCAGTCATTATATATAAATTTATTAAAATATTGAAACCAAATGAATACAAGCTTAGTTGAAAGGTATATATTGTTTGTAGTGGAAACACTTTTATTTTATTTTATTTTTTGGTGATGAGAAAAACTCATAATTATATTATAGTGCAAGAAATATGTTTCACATACTGAATTATTTTGTTGGGACACTTTTATTTTTCGTCTCATATTGATAGTTTAAGAGAAAGTATGTTACCAACTTTATATGTAATTTCCTTATTTATGGTAATTAGAAATATAAAATAATATTACTTAACCATTTTACACAATTTTTCTGTCACTATTTTATGAAACATATTTAAAAAAAAAAAAAAAAAAAAAAAAGCAAAAACTTATGTACACCGTTTCACGGGTCTCAATTCGTGAGACGGGTCATATCTTTAATTAATGAGATCAAAGATCTAACCTATTACTTAAAGATCCGATCCGTCTCACACAAGTGTTACGTTATTTATAAGAAAAAACATATATAATCAAATGTTAATAGAAAAAAAAAAGAATTAATGATGTATATGCTCTTATGTCTTAAGTAATTTTTGTTTAAATATATGTAGCATTATATATACTTTATAGTTTTGAGCGATGTACATTCACATTTTATTACATATAAAATTTTATTCTCATCAATTCTCTAACCAAGTAAAGATATAATTTTTTCTTCAAAAAAGTTAAATTCTCAATCCAAAGGCTTTTTCATATCCTGACTCGATAGAGAAGGGGAAGAATATATAGTTTACCATGCATATATTAAAAGTTAAAATATAAATATACAAAAAGAAAAAACAATCCAGCAAAATTGTACGTAGCTTCAAAGCACCAAAGAATTTTGAAAATTGAGTGGGTGGAAAAGGGGGACGCATTGTTGACCTATTGCAGCCTCCAATTGTGACCATCCTCAATTTTCAATGGGGTTAGTGGAAAGGTACTTTGACCAAAATACCCCTGCATCTATCAATCAAGTACTTTAAAAAAAAAAATCTTCCAAAGTTGACTTTTCAAATGCCACCCAAAAAATAAAAAATAAAAATTCCCCTAGATTTGGTCTATATATCCCCTCAAACAAACCAAACCCATTAGCAAAATAATAATAATAATAAATTATTTCTTTTTTTTTAAAAGAAAAAAGGTTATAACTTATCATAGAAATATTTAAGACTAGGCGAATAATATAATTGAGATCATAACTAAAAAGTTAATTGAACTTCCTTACACCATCAAAATAGTTGAACCCCAATGTTTGGGTGACGACGGAGATGTGTTAAACTAAACTAATGTGAAATAGCTTATAAATCACATATGAAAAGGTGAATCTCACAAGGAAATTAAAACAATGTCTCGACATGCTCGACCGTACATAAGAGATAAATCAAACTAAAAATACCATGTGCAACGAACTCGACCGATAAAGTGTTCACAATAATTGAACTCGTAACCTTCAAATTAAAGAATCATACTTTATCCACTCGGTCCTCCTTTTTAGGATAATTAAATATAAATGTTACTTCTTTAGTGGGTTGTGGTTTATGTGGTAACGTATTGATAGGGTAATTGGTAGGGCACTGGAACCAACTTGGTGCTATTAGTCTAACTGGAGGAGTCAAAGCAATTAATACAATCATTGTAACAACAAATCAGAGAGCATGTAGAAGTGTAGAACGGTGCATTTAAGACAGAGCACATGCACTTATGGAGGAGAGCACCTCAATTACTAGTAGGCCACAACGCTTATTGAGGAGAGTCACGATACTTATTTGGAGACAGTTGTGTCATTATGTAATTGTTACTATTATATTGTATAAACATGAGCCCATGTCTTAGCAAAAAGGAGAGGGGAGAAGGGACACACTATGATTTTTGTACTAAAAAACACATAACAATACAACTACTCTGCCTATTTACTTCTTTCTAAATATATGTCGATAACATATTTACCGTCACGTATAACTTTCTAATACTATTACGTACCTAATAGGAGTACTTAATTTTTGACATTCCATCGAATATTACATTCCTACAAGTGATAGCACTTTGTACATTTTAAATTAAATTTTGACAATTTAAAGAGTTAAAGGATTGAATTTGATCAAATAGATAAATTGCCCCTTAAATTTAATAGATAGAGTTAGTAAGAGCTAAATTCATGAGGTATAAATATAAAAATCATGTCCCACACCTATTTATGGCAACACCAACTATAATTTTAGGTTTAGAAGTTATGGCTGCATTTATTTTCCAATCAAAAAAATATATTGGTAATGTTTTTTTTTTTTTTTAATTTTCGTAAATAGAAAAGTTTCAGATAGAAAATGCCATGTTGCATCCCATTTCTAACATATGAGTGAGTATAAATTCATCAAAAAGTGGACGCTAATGCGAATCCAGTTAATAAAAATTTGTCACTAATGAATTAGATATAAATTTGACTTTTTAAATTTATTACATTCGATTTGTTCTTTTAAGTTACTATCACAATAACGGGCAAAACTCTATACAAAAGCGGTCAAAATCGACTTTGTCCGTCTCGCACCTATTTAGGTAGGGGTAAATTTCGTAAATAGAGCCTGTCAAAGAGCGAGTTTTTTTTAACCCGGCCTGTTTAGGCTCGTGGGGCTAGCTGAACCAGTCCGCCAAAATCATTTACTATATATATAATGTTTGATGAATTTCAGAACTATTGTTTAAAAAAAAAAATATTATTGACTCTATTTATATATACTTTCTCAACGAGGTACAAAGAGTCAATGTCCCTACATTAGGGTTCAAACTTGAGACCTCTCATTTGAGGGGCCACAGGCATGCCAAACTTGAGACCTTTCATTTGAGGGGTCACAGCTATGCCACTTGACCACAACGCCTTTAGCAGAACTATTGTTATTAAAATTAAAATTAGTACTTATGTAAAATAAAGTTATTTTAATTATTTTTATAGTGTACAAATGATAAAACTT